TACCCAAGGCCAAGCAAATTATTCTGACACTTCAGGCAAAAAATAATCCCAGAAGCACATCTCCCTACATCAAGCAATATTTTAAATATATATATATATATATATATATATATATATATATATATATATATATATTAGAATCACAAACTACAAAATCTACTGCTTAAGGTGGCTGCCTCAGTCTGTGTGATGACAGGGCCAGCCAATCTTAAAAGTATGATAAATCTTCCAGGATTACTTTATTCATTTTAATGATTTTTTTTCATAGAAAGTGAAGAGATTAATCTGAATGATATTTTTAAAGGTTATAGCCAAAGCCATATATCAAAACATAAATAATTCTATTGAATTCTATTAAATTTATTATTTGTTTACAAAGTATGTTGCAAAACAATGTTCCATTTAAAGCCTAAGAAGGGAACATGTGTGAAAGACAAACCAACATTAATATAACTATTAATTTCATTATAGGTACAAACTTAGGTCCACCATGGCACTACCTTGCCATGGTGGTGGGATCGCACGCTCCAATGAGGCAAGAGGCTATGCTGTTAGTAACAGTGCTGCTGGTAGAGTCTTCCATGTTAGATAAGCTTTTACTGAGGAGCCAGGCTAAATGTGCCAAGCAGCTACTGGGCAACAGCAATAGTAGGGGATGATATGAGCAGAGGATCTTTCAGAGACAATGGCAATGGCACCATAGCTTATGCTTGTTAGTTATGTGCAGAAGAAGGCAATAGTAAACCAATCCAGAAGACCTTTAACTTATAAAACCTCTGAAAAGGCAGCCTAAAATGAAACAAGAGATAGTGCCATACTGTGGGATAAGCTTGTGTTCCATCAGTTCAGTATATCTAGATTGCTGTCCATGACAGCATGTGCATTTCCAAGACCCTGCCTTCCTGGACACTCATCTAGATTGGATTGTATGAAGATGACAAATCACTCTTTACTCATAACAAAGGGCTTGAATGTCATGGAGATAGTGACTTTAAACTGAGGGTTGCAGCAGAGAGATCTGTTCCTTCATCACCTACTGGTGCACACATGCACCATAACACACCAGGATTTGTGTCCACCTCACCCAGGGGTTTGGCATGCAAGCTGATTATGCTCAGCCTCACCAGTGGAAGATTACTGTAAACCTGTTTGCCGAAGGTGACATGCCAATGGGATCCCTATTGGGAAGGGCCCTCCTCTCTGCTATGCAGATTGGAAGGGTCTTGAATACCATCTTCCCTGGCAATGGCACCCTGGCAAAGGCAACCTTCCTTATCTTTACTCAGGGAAAGAAGGATACCCTTGACCAAGGGAGGGAGTGTTCTATTTCAGAGATGCTCATAGATGTTTTGCAATGAACTGCTCCAATTAAGATCTCACTCAAAATCATATTTTAAATCTATAACTAATAGATCATCTCTACATCCTTCAAAGACTTCAGTCTCAATCAGCAGCAGGTAATGGAAGATAACAATAAATGGTTGTAAGAAGATTAAAAAATTCTTACAACAAACAATCCCTATTAGCAATGGTCCACATTTTCCCCATTAAGAAACTGAAGACATTAAGATGACAAGCAATATATTTTGTAAAACAACAGGGATTTAAGAGGCAGACTTGTACAGATGTTGTGTTTTCCATACATTTTTGTGGTCAGGGAGCAATGTTTGAAGATATATGTGTGAGGTCATTTGAATGCACTCTGCAATTGGTCCTCTTTAGGCACATGAGACCATCTGGTGGTCAGATGTGGATGGCAGGTAGATGGATTTGTTATTCACCAAAGTCACTGAGGAATGGAAATGTCAAATACCCTAAGAAAGCAAGGGAGGGGATGGTAATTACTAACCACCACCTCAGCACAGCAGCTTCTGCTTAGCAAGTCTCCAGAAAAGTGATCCAGTAAATGAAGTATGAAATTACAGTCCATCACTCTGTTTCTTTTTCTTTTGTGCAAAATAAGGCATATGCCAAGCCCACAGTGGAATGGTTGGGAAGAGTGATTTCTGAGTATCTACTCGTGGTGGTCCTCATGAGTTGAAAGACTGGTAATTGGAGAAATTGCTCTGAAATCACTTAGCTGGGAGGTTCTTGAGAGCTGTGATGAGTTCTTTGACTCTCTCTCTCTCTCTTTCTCTCTCTCTGTGTGTGTGCAGAGAGAAAGAGAGAGCTCTGCTTTGACTTGTTATTTTAATTTTGCCATGAAACTGGCTATTCTGTTGGAAAATAATTTCAACTAACCAAGAAGTTCCACCAGAGATGAGTTCTCACAAATTGTGTTTGATCCACAATCCAGTGATTGTAAGTCCTTGTTTGGGCTCTTCCTTCAAATATTTATTTGTGCCTCTGGTAAAACCTCTTCCCCTTCAGGAGACTTGGCCTAAGGGGAAATAAAGCAAAATTTCCCCTTTTCTCTTCTGCATCCCAATCATGGCTCCCACCCTGACAAAGCAAGAACTTTATCCTCCCTTTATCTCTGCTTGACCTTGGGTCTTTAGACCAAGGGTGGGCAGAAGGTCAGTGAAGATCTACTGGTAGATCTCTGCTTGATTTCCTTTAGGTCAGCAAGTGTGTCTGACTCCTAATGGTTTAACAGGAGCAACAACAATATGTCTTTTCCCAACTAAATTGGGTTACTGAAATAAATAAAGCCTGGAGTAATAAGAAACTGAGTTTTAGGCAAAAGGACACAATTCATTTCTGACACAAAAATTTAATCCCTAGGCTTGGATTTTTTTTCAGAAGCAATCTATTCTTATCTTTTACAGAGCTTGGAGAAGCTGGAACATTCTGGGAGGTTTAGAGTAACCTCCCAGAATACTCCAGCCAGCTGATCACTAGCCTTGAACGCTTGGAAATTCAGTCGGTTGTAGTCTCAAAAATTAACTTTTCCAAGCTCTAAGTGCAACTTCAGTGGACGTTGCAGAAGGCAAAACTTGTAGTTTGGGTTTGGATAAGTAGCAAACTTTGTTCTGCCCATTAAAATTTCTGAAAGAGAAATAATACTCTACTTCATATTAAGGTTTTCATTCTAAAGATATGTTTATTGATGTTCACCAAAGTAGGCACCATGGATTTTAGTGGATATAATTTCCACCAATGGATGTTTGCTTAGGAGTACTCCTTTATTTTATTTTCCAGTCTATGAAATAATAAAAACTATGGATGTGAAAGAGCCTTTCCAACAGGTAACCACAGGGCTCCAGCAATGGTGGCAAGCATGAAGAGAGACAAGCTACCCTCTGAAACACGCACAAAGAGAGACACACACATCTGGATTCACAACCCCAATCAACCATGAAATTCATTGGATGACCTTGGGCCAGACACGGTCTGAGCATAACACATTTGTGTATTTATTATTTCTATGCAGTTCAGTTATATAGTTCAATAGTCCAAGCATGCTATGAGGGTCACAAAAAGAGAGAATTTATGTGCCAGACCAGACCTGTCTTCCAACTCCATCCCATAGCTCCTGCTGGGAAAAGAGTACCGGAGTTGCACTGCCCTGCATCCCTGCTCCATTACACCACAGCACTTCAGGGTCTCACAAAGCAGAAAATAACAGTCTCTGTTACTTGTGAGGAGAACCAGTACCTCAGTCCCCCCCACCCCACTGAAGACAAGAGTGGTTTGTTCCAGTGTGCCAGCAACCACAGTGAAGTTGTTGTGGGATGGGTTACCTGCCATGGAAAATGGGAATGGGGACACCATATTGTCACCTGAAGCTTCTTCTTCAAGCCTTAAATATTTTCTCAGATAGAGAAAGAAAGAAAGAAAGAAAGAAAGAAAGAAAGAAAGAAAGAAAGAAAGAAAGAAAGAAAGAAAGAAAGAAAGAAAGAAAATGCTTTTTGTCTGCATTTCTTGCTTTGAAGAAAACCAGCAACCAAGAAAATAGCCATGGTAGATGTTAGCCAATGAGGCCAACAACATATTGCTTTGTGCTAAAGGCTTTTTTAAAGTACAAAATGTCTGTTGCTAGTTCCTACCAGAGCTTAGGACAGTTTCATTTGTTGGACTACAACTCCTAGAATCTACCAGCCAATACATTTATGGACATATCCACTATATATTCTCTACATCAGTACATAAAGAACTGAGACATAAAATGCATCAACAAACCTATAACTGGAATTTGAACCACAAACACACTCAGATTCCACAAAAACTTGAGATATTCCTCATTTTTTATTTAAAATATTTCTGCTCAATGAGTGCTTCATGAGATGTACAATAAAATCATGAACACAATAAACAAAACTGATCGAGTACATTAGCTCAAATCTACTTGCTAGTCCCAACTTGAGTAGACCCACTTAATCACTGGATTTACATAAGCCTTTATTATTCAGCAATTGATTCAGAGGACTATACCCACAGTGAGTGACTGTGGGATACATTCAGGCTTACTAAATAAGGTAAAGATCCTAGATCAGAGACTATTTTATGATGCATAACTTTACAATGATGGAGCTACATCAATGACATGATGAGCAACCATGCCATTGAATTGTGATGATGTACAAGGGGATACTGTGCAAGATATCTCACTAGACAACAGGGCTCCCATTGTGCAAGGGTCAAATTGTACATCACAACACATCCTTCATTGGGACCATTGTGAAATGGCCACACTGTTTGTACAATGGTCCCAACAGCATAACTACATCCCTACTCCTCTCCTGAGAATTCAGACATTGGCACATTTCAGTTTTCCACAATTGTAAGTCAATTTACAACGACTTAAATTTCCAACAGGATGACAGCCAAGATTTTTAAAAATATTTTTTAAAAGCAGTTGATTGTTACCCAACACATCAATGGCCATGATAATTGGGGATTCTGGAGCTTTAGTCCAATGAAAGGAACTTTCCCTAGCTGTGGTCCTATACCTACTAGTTTGACACATGACAGAGTGGGAAAGGCAAGACAACACTATATGCTTTAAAAGACACCCCTTTGTGTTTGTTGGTAGCTGTCACAGGTTACAACAAATGAGAGCCAGTGTGATGTAGTGGTTGAGCACTGGACTGTGATTCTAGAAGCCAGGGTTCAAATCCCTGCTTGGCCATGAAATCCACTGGGTGACCTTGGGCAAGTCACACTCTCTCAGCATCAGAGGATGGCAATGGCAAACCCTCTCTGAACAAGTCTTACCAAGAAAACCCTGTGATTCGCCTTAAGGTTGCCATAAGTCAGAATTGACTTGAAGGCATAGCAACAACAACAAATGCAGAGATAGTGCAGGACATTGTAGGGTCTAAAAACAAAGGTGTCAGCATTGTGTCTGTCCCCCCCCCCTTGGTGGTTAAAATGTAATATTAAACTCATAATTTGTTGTTCTTTCTTGGTATCCTCAAATCCTCTATCTGAGGTAGTCTAACTCATATTTTTTATTATTTATTCATTTATTTTGTTTATATGCCACCTTTCTCCTAAACTCGCTCACAAAAGATGCTTTTAAAAAGTTTGATTTTAAAACACAACTTTAAAAAATCAGATTAATATAAAATAATCAAAAATATACTAAGCAATTAAAAAGATACAAAAGCCAACATTGATAAGAAGCCTCCCTAAGTGCAGTTACATATTAAAAGTCTGCTTGAAGAGAAAAGTTTTTGCCTCCCAGCAAAAGGAAAGCAGGGAAGGGACCAGCCTAGCCTTTGTGGGGTGGAGGGAGTATCTAAGAGAGGGAGCAGCCACTTTTTGCCTCATAGCAAAGCTGACCCCAAATGTATTTATTTTACTTTTACATTTCTGTCCCAGTCCTCAACCCCCAAAGAATTCCCAGAGTGGCTAACAAATCAATAATGATTAAATAATCCAAGTAAAACTAGAAAAAATATACCAGTATTTGAACAGCAGAACAGTAAAACAATGGAAGGTAAAACATAAACCAAAGAAGATTAAGCAACTATGAAAAAAAAATCTAAGAACTCATCCAGATTGGCCAAAAGCCTTGGACTTTGGCAGAAGTCATGCTGTACTTATTGGAATTTTAAAAAATATTTGTATGACAGATCTCCTGACCCAGACTATTTCTTGTGAATTTCCGGGACTAGCTGTGACTTATTAAACCCAGGGCAGGGATGAGTTCTTTTTCTGTCCTGGGAGTTTCTGAAACAGAGGGGTTAAATTCTCATGTCTGTATCCATTGTTTTGGTTCCTTCTGTACTTCTATGCAGTTCTACCGATAATGTTTTAAATGGGAGTGTGACCTTTTCCATGAAGGTTTTCCTCTAACCTACATTTTCTCATTACATTACTAGACTAAATGATTCTTCTTCTTCCCCATCATTCTCTTACAGTTTTAGTTCTTAAGTGGCATATCTCTTTGTTGGCATGGTGGCATAGCACTTTAGCACTATGTTGTTGTTGTGTACCTTCAAGTCTTTTCTGGTTTATGGTGACTCTAAGGTAAAACTACCACAGGATTTTCTGGGGCAGAGAGTGTGTGACTTGTCCAAGGTCACCCAGTGGGTTTCCATGGACAAGTAGGGAATTGAACCATGATCAAATCCTCAAACCACTAGTCCGACACTCATACCACTACACTACACACATACAGCACTATGACTATAACAATATATATATATATTGAATATTTAAGACAGGGAAGGTAGATATTGGGAGAGGAGCATGGGGGAGGTGTGGAGTATATGGAGAAAATCCTGGGAAGGGAAAAAAACTCCATCCACACTACAATTAACCACACCTCAAGCAGGGGGAAAAGAGTGATAAAACCCCATTATATTTAGGGCATGACTGGATGTGGGAATAACTGTTACAAGGCATGAAATCAAAGAAACAGATATCCAGAGATTTACTAGAACTGTTGGCCCATCTAGAGGAGGCCTAAGACAGGAACAGACAACTTAAAGCTTCCAGATATTATCAAACTGCAACTCCTTTTATCCTTCACTTTTCTACACACTGGCTAGGGTTGATGGGAGTTGCAGTCCAACAAAGTCTAGCTGTTCCCAGGCTGTGGAACTCTCTTTCAAAGGAAGCTAGGCTGGCCTATGTCCTGGGGCTGAACACATAAGCCACATGTGTTCCCCCTGGACTGGTGTTGTCCTGTACAGACAATGCAGGCCAGTAGTCCCAGGCTGGGACTGGCCAGTCCAGATGCCGATCTGGTAGTTCTGGGCTGGCCCTGGCCCAAAGGGCTCTTAACACGATCTAAAAAGACTGGCTGTTTACAGCAGTTTCCTGGAAAATCCATCACAACGATCAGCAGACCACATGGGCTTACGGGCCACTGTTGCCACCATTGCATCCACTCTGAAGGTCTGTGACATCAGAAGGGATCCTTGGCTTTGAAGGTGTAGCCAGGCACCCTATTTCTGCTCTTACAGGCTGCTGCAAGGCAGGTAATGGGTGCATGGTGGCAGTGGCTGCACATAATAGCAGCAAGCGGCAGTGGCATCTCTGCCTAGGGTGTCACTTGGTGCAAGGAGGTAGGGCTTCGGGGAGCACCATGGCAGCAAGGTGGGGAGCACAACTGGCTCTCTCAGCAGCCCCTTGGCCTTCCGAGTCCCACATGGCCATTGCCACATGGAACCTGGAAGGCAGCTACCTCCCTCTCCCAGCCCTCTGAAGCCAAGGCCATGTGGGACTGGGAAGGCAGCTGCCTGCTCCCCCTGGGTTATACTACTCATTGGGTGACACTTCCCTCTGGGCTTTCACCCAGTGTAGGCTGCACCACTGCACTCCCCCAGTGATGCCACTAGCAGGCAGGTCCATTTCCACACCAGACCGGGGAACAAACCAGGTAAGAACTGCGGGCTGCAGGCAGGATACTACAAGGTTGGTCAATGCTATTCTTGCCATGTGTCATCCTTCTGCCAGCAGTTAGGTTTTAGCACTTGACTGATGAAAGGGCTTTTAACTGGTGAGTGTGTTACCTTTTTTATTGCACTGCTTTACTTGGTTGTGAATTCAGCTATCTTTTAGTATTATCATTTCCCTGCTTTTAAATATTGTAAACCACTTTGAATCCTAGTTCTGAGAGAAAGACAAGGTATAAAATCAAATAAATCAGTCTGGAGAGCCACAGATTGCCTCATTTCTACTCTAAAAGTTCTGAGGAAATGGAAAAGACCTCCATGTAGCTCCTAAAGGGCACCTGTCTGCTGAAACCCAGCCTGGTGGGGGCATTCCAATTACTGATGTTGTGATCAATGCACATCTTTCTTTTAAATTGCAAATCTGGGAAATGCACACTTGGGAAGGGTACACCTGGCCTACTATGGTGTGGTCCCACACTCATAGCATCCTCAACAAAGGAAGAGGAAGCTTTTGTCAGGCTGCTCTTCACTTCTTTTAATGGAACTGATTGTGGCATGAACACATGTTTTGTTACATATTATAATTGGCTCAGAAGCGGCCTGCTTTATTTAAAGCCTTCACAGGCCTGGGTTTTCTATATATGTATGTAAATACAGAGTAAATTAACATTCCCATGGTGTATATCAAGAGCAGATCTGTGAACGAAGAGGAAAGCAGTACTCTTTGGGCTGGTGCTTTGAAGTTTCTAGTTGAACCACACTCTGACACATCTCTACTGACAACTCATTTCAGCAGATTTCATGTCTGATGACTTATTTATAATTTCATCAGAAAAAGCTTTTCCCTCGACAGAGTGTGCTTTAGCTCACTGTTGCTCCTTCCTCACCCCACAACATTGCAAAACAATTTATCAAGAACATGTCTTGCAGGAAATTAGCCAAACATCATTCCAATGGTGTGACGCTTTAGGATGAAAATGATGAGTTACAGCTTACTAAATTGCCTTGAGCTTTGTTCAGTTTCAGACAGCCTTTCCCCAACCTGGTGCCCTCCAGATGTGTAGGACTACAACCCTCACCATCCTAAGACAGTGTGGCAACAGCTAATGACTATGCTGCTCGTAGGTAAAAGTGTGTGGTTACATTAGCAGGGGTAAGCAGTGGATCTCAGTGCTGCAGTAATCATTTTGTGTCTGCCTACAGAGTAATAACCAGATGCTTCTTCATTCCTTCTTGTTCCTCACCAGATCTAAGAATGGCTATGCAAGAAGAGAAACTTGCCAAGCATAGTGGAGGGAGATGGGGAATACCCACCTCTGCAATACCTCTAAAAGGGCATACACAGGCTTAAGAAAAACTTAAGATTTCATATGTCACTAAGCTATGGTAGCCCATTCACATAAAAATACCAAGTCTAACAAATGAGGAAAGTACATATGCACAAACTTTCCAAGGCAATGATTTCACCCTGAGATTCTTCTTCCTGGCCCTGTGGATCAGAGAAGTTCCTGAATTGGAGAGACCCTACTTGCAAATGTTCCTTACCACACACCTTTTTGCAATAACTTCCTTCAGCTAAGCAATGATACTTCACTTACTAAGAGCAGGTTATTTTTGTTATTGATTGGAGAACTGCAAAAACCACCAGCAGTATTGCAGTGTTCTGTCTCTCCTCCTCTTCCCAATAGGCCTTTCTCTCAGCTGCTGCCCAAGCGAAGAAAGGAATAGCGGAGCTGCATTCCATTAACTCTAGCTTTCTAAGCTTGAATTAATCCTACTGAGCCACTTGAGAAACATGTCAGTGGAATTTGTAAGAAGAGCGAGGAATTAAAAAGGCAGAGAGACCTGCGGATTTACAGCACAGTAAAGGGCAAGTTCTGTAGTCATGTTTTATCATCTTTGATTCCTGCTGAAGTAGAATGATAGCATTATCCTAAAGAAGCAAGACACGAAAAACACATTAAGAAAGAGGGATCTTAAGTACAAGCTGTCCAGACAGATGCATGCAAAGGTGATTACAGCTGTGAAGAGGGTTGTGTAAGATTTGGAGGAATGGAGGGAAGTGCTTGAAATTTAGGGCTAGCCCTACTATTAGATGAAAGCCAGCATGACATAATGGTTTGAATGTTGGACTACAACTCTAGAGACCAGGGTTTGATTCCCAGCTTGGGTTTGAAACCCACTGGGTGACCTTGGGCAAGTCACATCCGCTCAGCCCCAGAGAAAGGCAACAGCAAACGCAAACATCCTTTGAACAAATTTTGCCAAGAAAACTCCATGA